TTTCAGCGGTGTTCGTGAGAAACAGTGTCTGTTTTTAGTTACATGAAATCGACGAACACCGTTGAGCATTCGCATGTCCAAGATGGCCGCTGCCTCGTGGTTGGCATACGAACGACGACCACCCAGTCGGCATTCGACAATTAGGAAGTGTCTGCGGTTAACCACAACATTTAATGAGTCCAAGAGGTTAACCAGCAGCACACTTCCTTGCTGGGTGGGTGGGTGGCCGTTCAGTGAATTGTTCGGTATAAAAGAAACAAACATGGGGACCATACGGACAGGGAAACAGCTGAACAAACAGATGAATGAAGGAACAATAAAAATATTTCACAGGCAGTTGGTTCTGTCACAGGTGGTTTTGAGATGCTTGCAAATGCATATGTGCTTCCAGTAACCCTGCTGATGTCTTTTGTTAGTGCAATTAGGTCAAGCATGTCAAACTCAAAAGCTAACACAGGCCAAATAAAAAAGGTTTACGTTTATGTGGGCTGCAGAAAACCCAAAACTTCAGTTTTCATAGAAACTTTGGTTTATTTCAGAAAGTACAGTATAAAAAAATTTGCCTAACTGATGCTGGACGTCCTGACGCTCATAGGGCTTCAAGGTAAACAAAAGAGCGGATTTATTTTAGGGAGACGTGCATTTGCAAATAACCAATGTTTCAGTCCAACTACCTTGACATATTAAAAAAAGTTTGGTAATAGGACAGGAAATGGTAAATGTATGCTATTGCACAGCTGTAAAAAAAACAAATGATGGTATCTTGTTGATTTTGAAGTCCTATGAGTGTGTTCTTCACCTTGATTATCGCAGCCAATCCAATGCTTTCCAATAGGAAAGCATTGGGAGGCTATTGTGCATGTGTGGCAAAAAGCTGCGTTGCCAGTCAGCATCTCGATGGGGAGCGTTCAGTGCCTCCATGCAGACCCAATCTAATACACTGCCCCTTCCACCAATTCTAATACACTGCCCCCTCCCTCCACTCTAAGGCACTGCCCCTTTATCTAATATACTGCCCACTTCCCTCCACTCTAATTGAATACACTGCCCTCCCCTCCAATTTAATAAATTGTCCTCCTCCCTCCCCCCAATTTAATACACTGCCCTCCCCCCAATTTAACACACTGCCACCCTCTCTCAACTTAATACACTGCCCCCCTCCCCCCAATACATTGCCCTCCCCCCAATTTAACACATCCCCACTTCGCACCACTCTAATACCACTACATAGTTACATAGCTGAAAAGAGACTTGCATTAATCAAGTTCAGCCTTCCTCACATTTGTTTTTTGCTGTTGATCCAAAAGAAGGCAAACAACCCAGTTTGAAGCACAATTTTGCAGCAAGCTAGGAAAAAAATTCCTTCTTGACCCCAGAGTGGCAGTCAGATTTATCCTTGGATCAAGCAGTTATTGCCCTACATTGAAAGATTATATCCTTGAATATTCTGTTTTTGCAAGTATCCATCTAGTAGCTGTTTGAACATCTGTATGGACTCTGATAAAACCACTTCTTCAGGCAGAGAATTCCACATCCTGATTGTTCTTACAGTAACAAAAAACCTTTCCTTTGCCTTAGACAAAATCTTCTTTCTTCCAGTCTAAACGCATGGCCTTGTGTCCTATGTAAAGTCCGGTTTGTGAATAGATTTCCACACAATGGTTTGTATTGGCCCCGAATATATTTGTATAATGTTATCATATCCCCTCCCAGGCAACATTTTTCTAAACTAAATATGTTTAAATTTGTTAACCTTTCTTCATGGCTGATATGTTCCATTCCTTTTATTAATTTTGTAGCCCGCCTCTACTCTTTTTCTAGTGCCATAATAACCTTCAGGTGCCCGAAATTGCACAGCATATTCAATATCTGGTCTTACCAGTGATTTATAAAGAGGCAAAATGATATTCTCGTCTCCTAACCTCACCCAATATAATACATTGCTCCTTCCCACTACCCAAATTAATACACTGGCCCCTCCCAACATCAAATTAATAGACTGCCCCCTCCCTCAAATGAATACACTGCCCCCTCCCAAATTAAATACAGTGCCCCTCCTTCACCCAAATTAATGCCTATGGATATCCGAGAGTATTTAAACTATTCTTGGAGATGTTAAGTCCGGCCATTCTAAGATCCATGTAACGGATCACCTGACACCCCGACTGGGCACCTCCGTCAACGGATGCTTCCTAGCTGATGCCATGGACTATAAGCACCGCACCGGACACCACAACCACCGCAGACTCCGCAACCACCGTAGCTTAACTGGAGTCTTCCTTCCACCCTGTATGAAACTCCGACTTCCAGGACCATGTGGGAAAGACCTCTCAACCAGGAGAGCGTATCAGGAACAGCTCGTAAAAGAGCTAAGTGATTAGTGCCCAGGGGAGTAAACAAAGTAGAGCAATCCCCAGTGTGGTTATAGCAGTTCCCCTCCAATCACGAGATAAGACTACGTGTTGAGCGTCAAACAGGAACAGTACACAATCCCTCCCCTCTGCCTGTGATACAATTAACAAAGACAATGGACTAACTCAATTAACTTTAAGCAGAAAAAACATACATTTTTACAAAGTCTGGCAAAAAACAAAAACATAACATTTCCCCACAAAATTGTCCCCTGATAGCCTCAATCTGGGTGAACAACATATCCAAAAATCACCCAGATCGGTTCAGGGTGCCATGCCCAAAACAGTTTCATACACTTGACGACAAAACACTGCTGGACAATTTAAGATGGCCACCGCCACATGTTTGAATCTGTTCCAGTTAAAAGTCCAAGGGGCAGAAACAGTACTTTTGAACATGGGTTATCCCAGGCCCCATAAAATGTGATAAATGGAATTTACTGTTCAGACAGGAAAAAATTGTGCTGAACAACATTATTGTCATGACATGAAAAGTTGTGCCGAGCAGCAATCAAATCCACAGCAGGGTTTGTGCTGAGCAGCAATTATGCAAATGGGAACCTGGTAACTGCCTTTGGGGTCAAAGGTCGGTTACAGCCTATCAGATCCAGAGGAGGGGTATTTAGGCCCAGTTCTCATCCTGCTCAGTGCCCTGTTGTGGTTTCACTTGTGGTTGTCAGAGAGCGTGTTATTGATTCTGGTTATTCTGGCTATTTGACTTTGGCATTGTTTTTGACTTCCCTGTTTTCTGGCATTCCTGACCCCTGGCTTTTCCTTATCGTTGTGTCTCTTTCTGTATCCCTTGACCTCAGCTATTCCTGACTCTTCTTTGGTACGTTAGTCCGACCATTCTAAGGTCCTCTGTGTTACACAATTCTACATGCTGGATCATACAGTAATCCTGAAATTACGACATGGCCATAGATCTTGTAGATTGTGTAAGCACGTAGCTGCTTGTGAAAGGAAACTGGAGGATAATGATCACCGCATGGATCAATTTGCCCAGGCCTTCAGTATGCTTATTACCCAAACAGCGCACTTGCAACCTGCCGCCTCACCTGCACCTTATGTACCTCCACCTATAGTACACAAGGCACCTACTATCTCTCTATCTCCTCCCCTGCATTTTGTTTGTAATATTCAAGAATGCTGGGGATTTCTTAACCAAATGGAGTATCATTTGGAGGCCTCAACGGGATATTTTCCCACAGACAAAGCTAAAATTGGTTACCCAATGAATCAGTTAAAAGGTAAAGCTTTAGCTTGGGCCAATCCATTATGGGAGAGTAATAGGAGTGTGGCACACAATTACCAGGAGTTCCTTACGGAATTCAAACTTACGTTTGAACCTGTAGGCAGAGAGGATGACGCCTCTACTGCCCTGATGCACATCAGACAAGGGAACCGGTCTATCTCGGAATATGCCATAGAATTTCGTACACTAGCTTCCAAGATGGGTTAATCTCTGCATTTAAAAAAGGATTATCTGAAACTATGCTAAATGAGATTGCCACCAAAAACTTACCCAAAAAGCTTAATGAATTTATCACTTTTGTCATGCAGATTGATAATAGACTGAGAACCAGAGAAGCTACTAGAAACAAGACCAGATGCATGAGTATGCATTTAGTAACCCGTTTCTCCAGACCTATTGTCCCTGAAATTCCTGTACAGTCCGAACCTGAAGCCATGCAGTTGGGGGTCACTAGACTGTCGGAAGCAGAAAGATAATATAGGAGAAAAGAAGGCCTATGTCTATACTGCGGTAGGAAGAGACATATGAGAAACAATTGTCCCATACGTCCAGAAAACTACCGCACCTTAAGGGGACAGGTCTTAGGTGTAATGGAAACGTCCTCTGAAAGGAATAAAAATAGGTTTCTCCTTGACATGTCTAACGCCCAGTGGCGTACTAAGGGGGGGGGGCGGAGGGGGCGGTCCGCCCCGGGTGCCAGCAGGGTGGGGGGTGCCATGACCAGCCCCGCCGCCCCCCCATGCTGCAGCCGCCCAAGCGCTCTGTAGAGAGCCTCAGGCGGCTGCAGCTTTGCCCGGGCGGTGCGTCCATGAGGGCGGACCGCACCGCCCGGGCGCAGCCTGAGGAGAGGGGCTGACAGGAGGGAAGCGCTCAGCGCTCCCTCCTGTCACTCCCTCTATAGTAGCGTGGCCGAGCCCTGTATAGTCGGCGGGTACAGGGAGCAGCTGTCTCCTGTACCCGGCCGGACTAACAGGAAGTGCACACAGTGTGTGCACTTCCTGTTAGTCCGGCCGGGTACAGGAAACAAAAGCTACCTGCACCCGCGGACTATACTGGGCTCGGCCACGCTACAACACAGTTAGGGGGGAGGGGCGGGTGAGAAAGAGGAGAAAGAGGGGGTAAGAAAGAGAAATG